ACTGTGCTTCTGATTTGTTGAAGCAAATTTCTCAAGCAGTGCGACCAATCCAAAGCACCACCCAGATCTGGGTAGTGACACGTCATTAGTATGGAATTTTTGCGCCCGATTTATACGAAGAACCTCGGCCCCCAGGTCCAATCCCTTACCCTTTTTTATACTATTTTTGACAGAAAAGGTACCCCTTTCGTATAACTTCTATTGACAAATGGTACACCTTTCGCATACATAGTTTAGAACTTTACATCCCTTTTAACACTAGCTGTATATGCACTGTCTTTGAAATATGAATAAATCACGAAACGGGAACGTTTTATCGACTTTTTTACAGCCATAAAATGCATCTGTTAGCCCTTGTGGGCCTTTTTACCGACCGAAAGACAGATTTCTCTACCTTTCATATACGTCAGCCTGTGGAATCTCTCCTTTCATACTGACCTGACGTATGAAAAAGGTACCCCTTTCGGGAGGTGCCTTCTGGTACAGCCCATTATTGGGAGTGTCCCCTGGGTCCTCGGTCGACAAGGCCGCTGTATCAGGTCCCGGTTGTTCAAAAGTTAGATTACTTTATGCAACGCGTAAATCACTATCCAACGGATAAGTTGAGTATTAGGGAAACGGATTGCGTTATACGGTGGATAGAGATTTATCTGGTTGACAGCGTTATCCACCTTTTGAACAATTGGGCCGGTTTGTCCCTACAGGAAACGAGAACGGAAAAAGAGGAGCAAATTGATGTATTGGGGGAGGATTTTTTCATCACTATCAGAAATTAAGGGAATCAAAAACAAACTATGGTAGAATTGAGAATAACATAAGATATTTTTATTGTAATTAAAACAAAAATTACAAATCTAACTCGCTATGATTCCAAATTTTAGGCCTGGCCATGGATATCTCCCTGGGGTTACGCCCTAAAAACTTACGGGGGAGCTCGTTAGAAAATTTCGAAACCGCCCCTAAAAAGAGTTTTAAAAGATTCCAGATAACCGTTTTATTGGCGCGGCTAAAATTCATGTTAACCCCAAAGAGGAAACAAAAAATCACTTGAGTAACAAATAGTTCCCACCGTTTCTCGACTCGATTCCCCAAAGGTGCTATGACAGCTGTGATAGAGCTCTTTTTTAAGCACCCTTAAGCAACGGTGCCACTTTATCGGGAGATCTAGCCTCCCCGCAGACGTACTTTGGGATTCGTTCCCATGAATGCGTGACGAACGAACCCCAAAGGACGTCTGCGGGGAGGCTAAGGGAGATGAGGATCCCCGTCATTTTTATGTGGGAGTATTCACCGGGAGATATCTCCGCCCTCACTGTTATAGAATGCCCTATAGTTCAGTTTATTCAAATGTGATCCTTAAAACTAAATTCTATTTCAACGGGATTTTAATGAACCTTGCTTTAGTAAACCTTAAAGGTTTAGTGTCAACTATTAATACAAAAAAAATAGAGATCGTTAGATTCTAAGACGGGAACGACTACGAGGACGACGGATTTTCTCAATACATTAAGTAAGGCGTCAAGGCATGAAAACGCGATGGCGGTGGTCATTTCGTCGGGTTTTAGCGAAAATGTTGCACTGTTGATGGAAACAAGTTATCAGAAGTTTGATCATTTTGAAATCGGGAAAGGGTTTAACGGAAATAACCGTGCTAACTAATCTAGGGGAAAAAAAAGGAAAATGAAGCTTTCCGGGGTGTGTCTCGAAATAAAACCTTGACTTAAATTTGTCAAATTTCGTCCTCAAACATAAAGGTCTCCAACATCGTACTGCATGAAGCTCCGTAATACGCCAGGACACTAAGGCCTTGTTTACAAGGAGGGAGGGTAACCCTGGTGATAGGGTTACCCTAGCAAGAGGGTTACCCTAGCACTCGCACATTTGTTTATTGTTTGCGCGACTTGTTTACAAGGCACGTAGACCATAGGGTTACCCTAGCGCTAGGGTAACCGTACCTGAGTGCTAGGGTTACCCCAGCAAGAGGGTTACCCTAGCTACCTTGTAAACGCTCTGCTAGGGACAACTCGCCTACCCGGGACAACTTTCCTACGTAATGCGTGACCAGTAATTTTGACAATTTGAACGGAGTAATCAAATTTCTGAGGTTGATTATAAACATGTGAACAATAAACGGTATTTTCTGCATACGATGATAATATTTTCCAGTTTTTTCGTGAATTAAACGTGTTTTTCATAGAGAACTTCAAGTTTTATTCAAATCTTGGACGTTACAAAGAATGTCACGCCTGACGAAATACGTCAGTCATATTCCAGTAAAGCTGGTAAAGTTGACCCGAGTGATAGGGTAGCCCTACCTGTGAAATTTGCTTCTAAACCAGAGCTATCTTTTGCCCATTTGCTAGGGTAACCCTAGTACAAGGGTAGCCCTCTCTCCTTGTAAACAGGCTCTAAAGGAAACCAGATTCGAATTGGCTTAACCTATCAAAAAATATTCTAAGGCAAATACTATGTAATGAGCTAAGTAAATCAAGTGTAAATACGAATGTAAACAAATAAGAGGGTCTCAATGGGGTGGTGGCTTTTACGGTTATCGGCTAAAATTTTGGCTCTTTTACGGCTATCGGTTAATTTTTTTCAGTTACGGTTAACGAAAAAGTTAAAAATTAACTTCTTTTGTTTCAAAGAGTTAAATATTAATCAACCTGTATTTTTTTTGAATAAGGGTCTTCGGATCATCTCGGGATGAAATAAGCTATTCTTTTATAAAGTATTTCACTTCTAATATTATTTTACACATAGTAATGTCAATAGTCAATTGAAAAATTATCTTCGTGAAAAAGCAAAAGTAGACACACGAACGCCAAATCAAAGCCGGGGCGCGACATTCATTAAAACAGAAATGGCCGTTTTCACACTAGAGAAGGATTATTCGTGTGAGACGGGTTATCCGTTTGATGATTCGCGTCAGATAGGTAATATGTCTTAATTTGAAAATGGAATAGTTTTAATTTGGAATGAACAATCTGCCTGACTTTTGAAGACGGGATTATCCGTTCCAGATAGCCTGTGTACAGCCGCCCCCTCCCCTCAGAAAAAATCGGAGAAGGGGTGTCTATGGAGAGGACGCGACTAGACACAGGCTAGTCTCAGACGGATGATCCATTTCTAGCTATAGTGTCAAAAAGGCCAATAACAAAATTCCCGTGTCCAGTGTTTTTAATGATAGCGAAGGACTACGGAACGATTGTCTGCCGTTGCCTTGTCCGTAGGCTGCGTTATTCCGCACGGCTAATGCGTTTCGGGTCACGTGGTCCGAGCGAGTTCGCCACCGAAATGCCTTGACTGAAACTGCGTGGGTAGACGCCGTACAGGGACTAGGCATGGCAATGTCTACCGTAGCGTCAGAGAAAAACAGGGAAATGTTGCTTATCGGCAACGAGTTTTACAAACAGTGACATCTCTGCGTGTTGTTTCACTAGTGTTTCGAGGGCACGACCTCCGGAAAATTGCAAATATTAATCCCCAGCAAGAAGCCACACTTTCGCTAGTTAGTTCCCAGAGAGAGCGCCGGAAATGGAGCCTAGGTCTTGGTTAACTCCTAAAAGGCGCTTCGCCTAACGTGCGTATGGAGTCACACTAGCCGGCAGTGTTCTCACCAGGATTTTGCCTTGGGGAGTCCCAGGGCCCCCTCTTCTGAGAAATAGGGGCCCTGTAAGAACATTAGGGGGACAAAGTTACAAAAAACACGCGGTACGAAGAACCTGAGCCCGCACTCCAAATTGTCTGTTACATGAAGTACCTACCTGATCCAATATGGCGGAAGAGGTGTTTACGATTCGGAGGAGGAGTTTACGATGTAGTGGGACGTGCGTGGGACCAATGAAAGTAAAGGCAACAAAATTAAAGACTTTGACTCATTTGATATCATGTTTTTTTATTTATTCAAACAAACAGAATGCTTTAGTGTTAGGGTGACCATTAAAACTACTTAAGTCCGTTTGACTCGTAGCTTGCCCCTGCGCCCTAACGGACGCATCTTCTTGGTTTTAATGCGCCATTTCAGTTTTTTCTTGCGGGAATCCCGCAAGGCCGCGGCCTGGTGAGAACACTGTAGCCGGGAAATAAAAAACGCAACCATAAGGGAGTTTAGTACCTTCGTTAAAAGTAGCAAATCTAGGGAACACTTTCTTTTACGGTTAACTCTTTTTTACCCTAATTACGGCTAACGGTTAAAATTTTTCAATTTTTACGGCTATCGGCTAAATTTTTGGCCGTTTTACGCCTATCGGTTAACCCCATTGAGACCCTCAAATAATGTGCACACTCAGTAAAGAAAGTTACTCGTTTGATGTTGGTCCACAGCACGGCTCGGCCGTTAGGGAAACTGACACCTGTGTGGAATGTAAATGTCAAGTTAGTCAACTAATAATTTATACTTGGGGTACAAGGAAGAGGGCTATTAAAAATTAGCATGGGGAAGAAGTGAACTTTTTTAATCTTTGCTATGACTCTGAGATAAGGCCGAAATCAGATTGTATTCAGGTTTTGTTTGTTGAATAAGGGAAAAATATACCGATTATATTTAGGCTTTTATGGTTTCAGTTATAGACAAGTAGAAAGCAAATAAGGTTATATTTGTACCCAGGAATCAACACCACGAACATCAAGTCGTAGATCTTTTAGAATTTATTGAAATAGCCCCCACCACCCCCACCCCTCAGGGGGTGTCAACAAGTATAGTTGTTCATTTTTCTTCTATCTTTACAAAACTAACAGCTGAGAGGTTATCCAACACAATACCTAGAATTTAATTTGGTTTTTGATTTATTGTTTTATTTTTGTCTTTTGTCTTTTTAACGACAAAACCTCCACCTAGCACAAGGGTTTCCATAAAACAACTCATTGTAAATATTCATCTGTAAGGGTAACGGTCCTTAGAGCGATCAAAATGAAAGTTTCGTGGAAAGATAGGGTCGATAATCTACACTACAACTAGGTAGTTTTACCATGAATTACATTTGATAAAAAAAATAATTACCTCAGGCGAACTGATCTTCATCAAGTTCATCATCTGCCTCTTTGATGGCTTCTTTAACGGTGGCTTGTATTTCTTTTATTCTTGATAGATCTTCTGGGGGAAGTGCTTTCATCAGCTCGGACTCAATCTGCTTGATTCGTTTTTCAACCTTAACGTGATACTGATCTTGAGCCTCCCACACAAGCCTTTTTATCGCCTCTTGGGCTTCTTTGCTGCCTTCCAAGAGCTCATTCTTCATCATCTCGATTTTATGTCGATCCTTCTCTGGATCCAATGCGACCAGATGGCTAAGACTGGCCAAACGGCCCATCAGGTGATTGCGGGATATTTCCACGTACATGTTGGAAATCGACCAAACCACGTACGAAGTTGTGTTTGCTTGGTTCACTTGTTCGTAGATGACATCTCTCATGAAATCGGTTCCGGCATAGCCGTTGGTTAATGCTCGCTTTTGGCCTACCTTAGCGTACTGAACAAAGCCTGCAATACTCTCATTCTGACATGCCTTAATAATACTAGTGACAAACTGGAAGAACTCCACCAGTTTCTGCCACTTTTCACGAAGAGAGGCAAGGGCTTGAAGACCAAGTCTTAGCGTCTTTCTAATTTCCTCAAAATCAGCAATCTTTTCTGGGCTGAATTGTGCAAGTTCCTGCAATACTTCACCCAGCTTTTTGTTGCTTTCTTTCATTTCTTGGCATGCTTTGTCATAGCGGTCCTCCTGTTTTTCCAAGAGACCCCTTGCTTCAGCGACTTTAAAGCGTGCATTTTCGACAACTGTGTTGGTCAAACCAGAAGAGGCGGAATTGGCAGCACTGGTTGTTGTTTTGACTTGCCTTGGTGGTTTGGTGTAAAATGGATTTCCTCCTGAATTTGCTTTAATTTTTGTGCAAAACTTGCAAACCTTTTCTTTTAGGACTGATGCTTCCTTGGCCACTGTTTCCATATCTTTCGGTTGAGAGGAAATTTCATTGGATAATTCTTCAGCTCTTTTGCAGATCTCCAACCCTTTCGAGAGTAGCTCCGCCAGTTTCTTGCCTGAGGCGCTGTCCTCTTTAGCAGAGAAATCTTTATTTAAACTCTCCATCCAGAGCCTCACCGATTGGAGCTTTCCAGATAAGGTTTCTCCAGCCCCACTTGGGTCTTTTCCTCGGGCCCCAGACTTGAGGTGTTCAACCAACTGAATAATCAGTTGTTTCAACTGATCTCCTCCAAGGCTGACTGTATGCATTTGCTCCGTTCCTGACGAGTCCTCCTGCGAATTAGGGTTAGAGGAAGGATTCCCTGACTTGCGGAGAACGGATGAAGAACTGCTGGAAATCAAATTTGTTATCGTCTCGACAACATGCATTCCAACAACCTCCATTCCGCTCGGCATAGAATCCATAGCCCTCTCAAAATCTCGTTTAGCTTCACGTACTTGTTTTTCGAGTTTTTCTTGCTGTTCCTTCATATTAGCTGCTGCTTCCCGGACCGTCTTTTCTTTTATTAGGGCAATTTCTCTTTTCTTTTCTGTTACTTCTTGTTCCTTCTGATAATAGCCTTGGGCTGCAGAGGAGACCTCACTTAGCTCATTCGTCAGTTCCATGACAAATTGGAACTTCTTTTCAACTGCTTCCGCCAAAGATAAACACTCTGATGAATGTCTCTCAATCTTTCCAAGTTCTATTGGAAGAATATCTTTGATGTCCTCGTCAGTTCCTTTGATGAGAGTGCGAACAACTTTCTTGACTTGATCAGGGATTTGAATGGAGTAGAGACGGATTCGATCCATGTTCTTGGGGAAAAAATTAAAAGTCACAGTTAGCTGATGATGTAGTTGGTCAATGATAGTAAAATTCTAAATCATGATTAAGTAGTCACAGTAAATTCTGAGTGACACGTTGTTTTGGTGTAAAACAAAACAAAAGTAAATTGCGTGCGACACACTAAATACAGTTATAAGTCAGGACAGTATCGTCAGTTAAAAACCCTTAAAATAAGATTATGTTAGTAAGAGACCATTAAATATTTTATACCAAGAAGATGGGTTGGTGGTTTTCAGGGTTGGCCCACAAGAAAATGGCATATAGAGGGGGCCATGCTTAGAGGGACCATGAATCTCCCATTTTTTGAAGAGGGGAAGTTAAGGTAACTTTCATAACGTATCCTTAAAATACGCTCAAAGACTAGGACCTATAAGGTCTAAATACTTCATCTTGTTTTCCTAATACCTCCAAAATCCAATCCAAAAAGGTCAAACCAAGTAATAAGCAAGTAATAACTCCCCCAAAAATATAAAATCAAATATGACGGGGTTCTATTGTAGCATCAATAAGCAGTGAAATGTGTTATCAATTTTCCAAATTTTTTGAGCAGCATTGCATGTCTAATGTACTATGTGGCAGCTTTCAATATACAAGATATGCAACTTCAATCAGTACGATTTTTTTTTTTTTTTGGGAGTAGTTCCAGGACCCCTGTAGTAACTCGAGCCTTCTGAGTCTTAGATTCTTGGGGCT